TAAGACCCCAGCCTCACTTCTGTGATATTCCTACCAAGGATGATAAGCCGAATATAATCACGGGGAAGCATCAGATAAACTCGAATGGTTATTTAAAATAACTTGTCCATAACCTTCAAGAGTACCAACGTTGTGAAAGTTAAGGAAAGACCAAGGAATTGTTCTGGACTGGAAGAGAATTAAAGACATGACAACCAAATGCAATATGTAATTTTGAAAAATCACATGACTAAATGCAATGTGTGATTTTATAACTTTTGTTACAAAGGACATTAATGGTACATTTGGGGAAAACTGAAAGGAGCCTGAGATGTGACAGTAGCATTGTGGTTACTGAGAAATTTCATTGTTTGCAGGAGTATTCAAGTATTAAAGTATTCAAGAGTGATGGGGTATCTTGTGTTCAGGGGAAAAATTCTTCATACTGTACTCTTAATTTTTCTGTAAATTTGAGAATAGTTCTAGAAAATGAATACATGTATCGAGCTCTTACTACTTGTGCCCCTGTCACACAAGTCCAAACCATCATCATCTCTTGCTTGCATTATTGCTTAAAGCTACAGCATCATTTTATTTCCTTTCATGATTTCTGTGGGTCAGAGACGTGGGAAGGGCACACTTGGATAGTTTGGCTGGAGATGTCTCATGCAGGTATAGTCAGATGGATGGGGTTAGAACACAGAGGAGATGAAGCATTGCTTTCTTCATGTAGTTTCAGGCCTCCTTAGATGGCTTCATGTGGGCTAATTTGGGCTTTCTCACAGCATGGTTTCCTGGAGATAGTGAGGTTCCTCATGTGGGAGTTGGTTTCCAAAATGAACAAATCAGAAGCTGCACTGCCTTTTATGACTTATATTGGAAGACACCATGACATGACTGATACCAGACTCAATTTGTCAAGGGAGTCACAACAGCCCACCCAGTTATAAGGTTGAGGGGACATGGACCTCCACCCTTTGATTGAAGAAGTATCAATATCACATGTAAGAGGAGCAGGTGGACTGTAAGATGGCCATGTGTTGTAGCCATATTGGACAATACTATTTGCCATAATGGCTCACAGGGCCCTGTAAGATCTAGACCCTGGCTACTTTCCTGAATATTCTTTATTCTACTTTTTGCTTTTTTTGCTCCAGACACACTAGCTTCCCTACTCTTCTTTGAAAATACAAGCATGCGTCTTCCTCAGGGCTTTTTCACTTGCCTCTTCTTTCTAGAGAGATGTTTTCTCTCTAGAACCTTCTTCCTCTAGATGACATTTGACTTGTTTTCAAATTTTCTTTAGGTCTCCAATGTCAGCCTCTCTGACAATCTTTCTTTTACTCTATATAAATAGCAACAGCACTACCCTCATTCTACTCTCCCTTTTCCCTCCCACATTTTTATCCGTGGCACCGCTAAACACCTGCCACTTTGTATGTTTATGTTAGCCTCTTTTCTCTCTTCCCAATGGAATGTTAGGCACTCTACCACTGGCTACATTGCCAGCCCTTCTGTTCAGTATGTAGCTAATTGTCACCGAGGACCTGAGGCCTACCAACAGCCAGGAGAGTGAGCTTGGAAGTGGATGCTCTGTAAGATACACAATCTCCAGCCAACACCTTGATTGCAGCATTGTGGGACACCCTGAGCCAGAGGCCCCTGGCTCATCTGTACTTGGATTCCTAATCCACAGAAAATGAGAAATAACACATGTTGTTTTAAACTACTAAGGCATGGAGTTATTTATTAAGTTGCAGTAGGTAATATAGAGGTTCTAATATACAGCCTCTTTGTTCCAGATATTAAAATAATAGTTCCCAATGAATTGTACCACTCAACATTGATGTAACTTGCTTTGTCCACTGGAGCATCACACTGAGTGTGGGAAGCAAGAAGAGGTGTGAGAAGTACTTGCGCATTGACACATTGCCCTCAAGAAATCTTGACACCACAGAATCTGAAGAAACACAAGAGAAGAGATGAGGTGGAGAGAGGCCCAGTTGCCCACACTAATCTAGTCATCTTACTGTGGCCACAGGAGTGAACATGGGAAACCAGCAAGAGAGCCTACACAACCATGATAGGAATTAAGTCATGTTATACTAAGCCAGTAAAGTTTGGAGTGGCTTTTTGGCACAGTAGATAACTGATACAGCCTCCTTCTCTTCCAGTGGATTCCCACTGTAATCCCAGTCATGATTCATGACAGTGAACCACTCTATTCTTTTGTTTTCACTTACCTTGCGATGAGAGCCAACACATATAAACATATCCATATTTCCTGGCTCATGGTCTATTCATTTCCTAGGGCTGCTATAACAAATTGCCAGCTGGGGGACTTAAATAATAGAAACCTATTTTCTCACAGTTCTGGATGTTACAGACCAAAATCAAGATGTCAGTAGGGTTGTGCTCTCTCAAAAGTTCTAAGAGAATATAGTTTCATGTCTTTCTCGTGGCTTTTGGTATTGCCAGTGATGTTTGGTGTCTTTTGGCTTGCAGCTGCCTAACTCCAGTCTCTGCCTCCATCATCACATGGCATTCTCCCCTTCACATTTTCACATTGTATTGGGTTCAGGGCTGACTACATTTCAATATGGCCTCAGTGTCTACAGCCATACTACCCTGAATGTGCTCCATCTCGTCCAATATGGACTCATATCAACTAATATTCCAAATAAGGTCATGTTCCAAGGTACTGGGTAATCCTAGTACTGTACGTTCACATATCTTTTGGGGAGATGCAGTTCAACCCATGATGTGTGCCTGTAGCCACCCCCACTCCTGTTGTACATTTCAGAGCTCTTAAATATTCCAGTCTTCAATGTGACAAAAGAGCAATTCTTAGTATTTAACCAACAGACATTTATTGAAGTTCTACTATGTGCACAGTACTCATCTGGGCTTTCTTTGATTCAAATTAATCTGTATAAATACTTGGTCATATATAGTTTGCTAGATTAAGGATCTAAATTAATTTTGAACTCTGTTGTTACCATTAGAGCAAGTTAAACAGTGAAGAATAGATCATACAAATACCTGTGTATGGTGAAATGACTAACCGAGGCATGGTTGGCAGGAGATTTCCTAGTTTGGTAATCTCTTACTCATTCGTAATCAACAACCTTTAGCAAAGCCAAAGTTTGTTGTTGTTTTTGTGGGCTTGTTGTGTGACTACAACAGTCAGCTTCCCCTCACCCCATGACAGGGTGACTCCTCAGCTTTTCATTTGTTTGTTTGAACTTTATTTTTCCTAACTCAAATTTCCAAAGAATTTTTTTTCAAGTGTCTTTTGGGGCTGAAACCTCAGATGTTTCCGACTTTGGAGATTAGAAATACTTTCCCATACCTTAGGGTTTTCTAGTATTGCTTAACTTGTACTTGTCCTGACTTTTCCATTCTTTTGTTTGTTCTGTACGTTGTTTACTTAATCTCTGCCTTTGCTTCCCTTGGGCTATTCTGATGTCCTTTTTGTAAGTATGTGAATTGAATGTTTAATTTACTTACTTTTATTCTTTTTTGCTTAGTAATGAATATGTATGAGCTATTAATTTTCTTTTAAAGTTCTTGAGTGTCTTCTTTTGAAATTCCCTACTTATCCATCCAGCTCAGTTTTGTTCTCTGAGCTAGTTTTCCCTTGCCATCTCTCTCGGAAATCATTTCTGTCTTCTTCAAAACTGAAAGCTGTTTTGTACCACTCATTTGGCAACAAATCCAATGCTTCAACTGAGAAGGATGGTGCCACATTTCTTTTCACAGAGCTTCCTTTTTGTCTTAGCATAGTGTCCCAGCATGAAGAAATGATAATAAAATGGACATCCTTTCCTGAGCTCTTTCCCTGTTGCTGGTACTGTAGTAAGTACACATTTTAAACACTCCATACAAATTTTCCGTGCCCATTTAACAGACAAAATGTTGCTCAATTGTCATCTGTTTCTATTCTTGGAACATGCCAGACTTTCAGTGGTAGAACTTTCCCCCTGGCCTGTGTCACTCTCTTTCCATATTCCAAATCAGTACTCAGAGCAAACACTGATCTGCAAAGCATTCCTGACCACCACATCTAAGACAGCCTCCCTCCACACGTTGTTTCAATTTATTCATAGCACTATTTCAATTGTCTTCCTCATTACTCTTCTGATGAGCTGCTTCTTTAAACTTGGAGGAGCAGTAACTGTCTTGTTCACTATAGCACTCTCTGAGGTCCCTAAGAACAGTGGCACATGGTAGGCACTTGTATAAATATTTTATGAACTGAATGCATTTCTAAAAGCAAATAATGTTGCATGAGGAACAAGTACTTTTGGACTCTGCAAAGTAAAAGTGGCAGCTACTTTTGGCTCTGAAAGTGCGATCCTGGGAGACAACTCTCTCACCTCCCAGGTAAGAGAATTAAAGCATCTCACTCAACGAACGCTGCAGGGGGGCTCACAGCCACCCACAGTGATTCTGCACAGACAGGGAAGTGACCTGGGATGGAACGGAAAGTGGGGCGCCTCGTGATCCAGGGGCGCGGGGAGAAGGGGGACGGGTTGCCAAGGGGGCTCCGAGTGAGACGCGGGGTAGGGGGCTGGACAGGACAGGACGAGGCCTGGCATGGACAAGGGGTAAGGATGACAGGAGGTGTGTGTGTGTATGGTATGGGGTGGGGGAGTGGAGCCGGGTAACCAAGCTGCACAGAGGGGCGACTTGAGATAGGAAGGGGGTCGCCCAGGAGTTGCCCAAGGTATATGGAGGCCAGCGCAGTTCCTCTGGTTGGGTCTGGGCAGATCAGGGCGCGAGAGTCTGAGGACGCAGAGAGGCGCAGGGTGGACAATAGGGAAGTGGGGGTCGTCCAGGGGTGGCCGAGGAGGCGGAGGAAGTTCCGGGGAGCAGTAGAAGCTAGGGGCGCAGCGCGTGGCGCGCGAGTGGGGAGGCCGGGCGCAGGGGCGCAGGTGGGTGCGCAGGGGTCGCCAGGGGCGGGCGCAGCGGCGGGCGGGCGGGGCCGCCCTGGTGACCGTCACTCACTTCCGGGAGCGCCCGGCGCCGGGGCCGCCGCCCGCTTGCAGCGCTGCCAGCCGGCCGGCCGGGGCTGCGGAGCCCGGGAGCGCGCAGGCCAGGCCGGAGCTCCGCCGTCCGCGTCGCTTGGGCCTCTGTGTCCGCCATGGGGGCGTCCGCGAGGCTGCTGCGCGCCGTGATCATGGGGGCCCCGGGCTCCGGCAAGGGCACCGTGTCGTCGCGCATCACCCGGCACTTCGAGCTGAAGCACCTCTCCAGCGGGGACCTGCTCCGACAGAACATGCTGCAGGGCACAGGTGAGTCGGAACCGAGGGCTGGCCGCGCGCCACCGTCCCTGGGAGGGCGGTCCGGGCCGAGGGTCTATGGAGGATCCTGCCCTGGGATGAAGGGCGCCGCGTCGCGTTCACCCTCTCCGCCTCCCCCCCCGTTTCCTTGGGCAGCTTCGGGTCACTTGCAGGGGAAGGGACCAGCTCCAAGTTCAAAGATGAAAGAAGGAAACCACTTGGCTTTGTTTGAGAGGCACAGCCAGCCCTGGACGCAGCTGCTCCTGAAGGTGCCTGGAGCAGAGCCTGTGACTTACTCTCCATGTGTCCTTGTACCTGATAAACTGGCTTTAGCTTACTAGGGTTTGCTTTCTATTCTTACTCCTCCCCCTTTGGTCAAGTTATTTGGGATCGTGTAGTTCTCTCAAGGCCGATTATTTACCCTCCTAGCAGTCACGAAACTGGCTTAGATTTTAATATCACCAAAGATTTCTAAGGTTATCCTTGTGCGTGGTTACATAAAATATTGTTTTGTTTCTCATGTCAAATAAATTCCCATAACTCAGCACAAAATCCAGTTATGAAACTGTATACTTTGCAATGCCTGAGTTTGTGGTATGTAGATTCTATCTTAAGAAGGCTATTTATATCTTATTATCCGTTTTGTTTTATTTTTTCGAGACAGGATCTCACTGTGTAGCCCAAGCTGGCCTTAGACTCGTGATCCTCTTGCCTCTGCCAACCAAGTGCTGGGATTACAGGCATGTACCACTATGGCTGGCTAAGAAGGGTATTTTTTTTTAAGTCAACGGTTTCCCCACCCCCCAAAAGTGTTGACCTTTACTTCCAAAACACAACCCATTTTGAAACTCATCTTGAAGTCCATTTACTTAGAAATAATGCCTGCACAAGGTAAAAAGGAAAAAAATAATGGAAAAAGGATAAGTTACACAGAACTACATAAAATAAAAAGCATAGCATTCTGTCATTCCTTGCCTCATTTCATTCCCATTCATCAGAGAGAGACAGTGTGTTCCTTCTAGAAAAGTTTATTTATATTACAAGCACATATATGTATATGTTTTATGTTATCATATTATATATAAACACTGCACCAGTGTGTTTTTCACTTTATATCTGGGATGTTTTTCCACGTGGAGACATGGAAATCCATTTCATTGTGTTTGTAAAGGCTGAATCTACTATGATTTATGTAATCATTCCCCTCTTGAATGGGCATATAGGTTATGTTTAGGTGAGGTTTTAAAAAATATTACCTATTTAAAAAATACTGATAGCTAGGCTCCCATGGCTCACACTTGTAATCCTAGCTACTTGAGAGACTGAGATCAGAAGGATGGTGGTTTCAGGACAGCCTGGACATATAGTTCAAGAGATGCCCATCTCTAAAATAACCAGAGCAAAATGGACTGGAGGTGTGGCTCATGTGGCAGAGTGCCTGCTTTGCAAGTGTGAAGCCCTGAGTTCAAACCCTAGTCTCACCAAAAAATAAATAAGTACATAAATAAAAATAGAGTCAAATAAAAAAAGAAAAATCAACCCCATGTTTCTATTTTATCTCTTGGAGTTCTTTGGTTCAGTATCCAGCATCTCTGGAGCGTTATACTTTTAGTTCTCCTTTTATATTGGTCCTAAAAAATTTAAAGTGTCTTGTCATTAATTAAACTTTATCAAAAGGTTAAATTGCTTGGCTATCTTGCTAAATGTTCTTGATGCAACATATTGAAATAGTTGGGTAACAGTGAACATTCCCCAGTCCTGTAGACTGTCACTGGTCAGTGTGAAGTTATCCAAAGTACATGGGGTAAGGAATCCTAGGGGAGCACTCTAGCACTGAGCTGTAGCCTCCAGCCTGGGAGTAAGGACTCCTTAAGGGATTGCCTGAAAATTACTGAGCAGTGAGGCATAACTGTATGGTTAGGGAGCACCTTCAGCAAAGAATGTTCATTAATTTATGAAAACACAAAACATTTATGAAAAGTAAATTTAAGAGCTATTGAAATAAACTTTTTAAAAATGAAGAAACAATGCTCCTTGCTTATCTTAACTCCCTGACATTCTTGTCCTCTCCCCTGGAACTCCATAACATGAAGATAGAGGCTAGAGGGAAGGGTAGAGGAACACTGGGAGGGTCTTCAGCCTGCCTGAGGCACCTGACCATTCTGGAGTGTTTACGGGAAGTTTTCTCTCTCTCTCTCTTTTTTTTTTTTTTTTAAGGACAAGGAAAGACAAACACTTTTTTAAAAAATTAAAGATTCAGGATGGAGGAGTGGCTGAAGTGGTATAGCACCTGCCTTGCAAGCCCACACATTTCTAACCCTAGCACCACAACCACAAAAAATAATAACAAAGATAATTTAAAAGATTAAAGCCTCAATTCCAGAGAACTAGATGTCATGAGAGAAATCTCTGCAGGGTCATAGTTCAAGGTACATGAAAGGGGTTGGGCTTTCTACTCCTACTAGGGAAGGTTCCAGAGCTCCCAGGGTAGCTCCCAGACAGCCCCCTAGGCATGGGTCTCTCTTAGTTTGGTCCCTCCAGCTGATGCCTGCAGCAGAAGTGGTGGATTCTGTTGTGGCTGAGCCTCCTGGTAGTGCTCTTCAAAGAATTATGGGCAGTTCTTGAACAGGGAGACCAGCTAACAGAGCTTGGGAGGTGTCCTGAGCTTGCTTTTACAGATGTTAATAACACTTTGTGGTTACGGGTTGTTTTTACAGGACAGTATCTGACACAGTGCTGTTTCTCAGGACTAAGAATATATTCTCAAAAAATATTTGTGAATGGATTGTATATTTCCCGTAGAATCTGAGCCAAAAGAAATGTAACCTTAAAAAAGTGCTGCTTCATGTTTTCTCATGCTAAAAGCAAATCGTATTTATTAAAAAGGAAGAAAATATCATGAAAATATAAAAAAAGGAAAATTAAGATCCTCCATAATTCTGCCTCACCACACAGAGACAGTTATAATTAACCCTCCTGTATGTTTCTCTTTCTGTTCTTTTTTTTTTTAATGTTACATTTTTTTCTGTATTTGTAAAATTGTTATATTTTGGATACTTTTTATTCTCTGCATGTTTACTCATCGATAAGCAATCTTGTAAGGTTTAATTTCTGTCTGTAATCCCAGCTACAAGGGAGGCAGAGATTAGGAGAATCAAGGTTCAAGGCCAGCCTAGGCAAAAAGAAAACAAGACCCCCATCTCAACAAATAAGCTGGGGATGGTGGCTTGCCTCAGTTATGAGGGAGGTGTAGGGCAAAAATGCAAGTCCCTATCTGAAAAATTAGACTAACTCAAAACAGGGCTGGGGTCCTGGCTCAAATGGTAGATCGCCTGCCTACCAAATGCAAGTTCCTGAGTTCAGACCTCAGTACCACCAAAAAATGTAGACTTAATTTTATCAAAGTTGCACAATTAACTAAAACATTTCCCTAGTATTGGACATTTATGTTATTAACCATTCTTTGCTATATAATAAACTCGTTATGACTATCCTTGTATGAACATGTGGCAGCATAGTTGCTGTGTTCCTTCAAGTAAAGTCCTAGTGAGGAATTTCTAGAAATCAACCACCATTTCCTAAAGGTGCTGTACTTATAACCCATGACTGTATTTTATAACTAAAGTTTAAAAATCATCACAGAAGATCTCTGCTTTTTAAGTTTAGAATGAGTGTGGAGTGTTCATTCCTTCCAGTAGTAGTTGTTTCACTGTTATCTGATTTGGACCTATAAACTTTCCTCATCTGTAAATATGACTTCAAATATAAGCCATGAATGTTATTTATCAAAACAAAAGGCTCATATGGGGAGAAAATCATCCCAGGAGATATGATAAGGACACTGGTAACAGTAGGCCACCTGCTGACAATGGCAGATCTACAGTGACCACATACAGCCAGACCCTGGAGCCAGGGCATTCAAGTTTGATCCTTAGACATCTAGATTAATCCTCTCAAGGGAACTTGAATTCAGGAGAGGTTAGTTCACTCGATAATAAATAGCATTTTTGTGCTCACTTAGGCGGCACATATCCTAAAATTGGGATGATACTGATGAGGTTAGCATAGGCCCTGCACAGGATGCAATAAAAGTGTTCCATTAAAGAAATGCAATGGAAATAAAGCATTTACGAGGAGACTAGGGTGAAAACCCAGGTCTCCTGGGTGTCAGTGAAATACTGTCCACTATGCAGTACTTTCCAAATTGAGATTCATGAGATCATTTTATATAGACAATTTTTATTTCTTTCAAAATGTATTTGAAAAAAATGAACCTATATTTCACGAACATTGTAGCTTACTTATTTTAAAAGTGAATCTCTTTAAAGAAAACCATATAGTAAATAATAGTTTGCCTATGGTAGAAATTGTAAGGTTGACACGTGATTGCTGAGTTTAAGAAACCACACCACAGTATAGTACTTCTCAAAGACAACCCAGACTGGGTGACTCACCCTTTTGTTTCTTTGGTGGTACTGGGGTTTGAACTTGGGGCCTCATACTTGCTAAGCAGGCTCCACCAGCCCATGACTCATCCTTTAGAGGCTCATTTGTTCTCACTGGGGAGTAATCTTCAAGACCCTTATCAGCCCTCAAGTTTTTATCTCTAACAAAACATTTACATACCCCATGGAGCATAGGTATGCATAATTAAGTTTATATTGGTGGCAGAGCGAATTGTTTTTGTAAAAGATTTAATTTGTAGTAGGCAGTATATTCACATGGTTTGGAATTTAAAACAATCATAGAGCATATTTATTGAAAACACCCTTCCAAGATATTTTATGTACATACAACCAAATGTTTATCCATTTCTTCTCTCTGTGTTTTACATAAATGGTAGCACACCTTCCCTAATGTTTTGAACCTTGAGCAGTATTGCTTTCCAAAAAAGTGTGCCCTCTTTTATTTTTTCCCTAACAGCTTTGTAGAGATATGATTCACATACTACATAGCATACTCACTGAAAGTGTGCAATTCAGTGGACTTTAGTATATGCATAGGGTTGTGCA